CTTAGTTGCCGCCACTGCTAGCTGTCTCGTGAGCGCAAGCGACGCTTCTCCTTGCTGACCTCGCCTCTTACCACCGGGCACTACTGCATAAAGGGTTTGTAGGGGCGGCTCAACATCATTTGTAGGAGCGGTTTGACCAGCTGCTCATACCAAATTATCTCTACAAATCATGTATTTGTAGGGGCGGTTTTCGGACCGCCAGCTGCTCCTATAATATTTGTTTGTAAGGGCGGTTCAATATAGAACCGTCTCTATAGTACGTTTTTCCGTAAAAAAAATTTAAATTTACAATTCAAATTAGACCAGAACCGTCCTGTTTGTTTCCGCGTATTCCAGCGTTCGCTCAACGTCCCGTCGAACGCCCCGCGACCAACATTCCGAACCGCGTTCGCTCAAAAGTATTATATAAACTACAAGCACAAGAGTATTATATAAACTACAATTACAAGTCCAATTCACAAGAATATATACAATCCATCATTAAATAGACATAATTCACAAGGTAAAACCAATGTCAAATTCCATACACATTGTTATCAATGTCCTAGAGCTAGCCTTTCAGTCTCACGAAGGCGTTGGTACTGAGGATATCTACCTAAGTCAGACTCTCAGTCATGGTAGGTATCTTTGACGTGTACAATCTGGTCCAATATGAAGTTGCAAAGGTCGCCGACGAGCTCTAAGAGTTGGTCATCTTTGTATGGGTCTCTTTTCATTCCTTTCTCTTCTTTCCACTACAAGAGAACAAGTTTCGGTTTAGTATTTCATACCATGTACGAAGTTTTTATACTACGGGTGAAGATGTTCAAACTTACCCTTAAGAGGTGTCTCCTATAGACACCGGTGTTACTCATCATAGAACATACATAGTATCCACAATGTAGCACAGGCGCGCGTGGCTGGCCAGTGTGGTGCCAGGATAGTGCGGCAGCGTCGGCATGCTCCTCCTCCATCTCCGTCGATCTGCTGGTGGCGGGGCGTCGATCCGGTGGCAGCTCGTTCTCTTCCTCCATCTGCCCAAGCTTCGCCCAGCTCTATCCGCCATGGCTGCTATCGAGGGGCCCAGCTCCTCCCCGCCGCCTGGGGCTGGCCGCGCCGAGAAGAGGGCTCGACGGCGGGGCGACGACGGTGTCACGATGGGAGGAAGGGGAAGAGAAGTCGCGGACGGGTCGCAGCCCACGGGGAGGTGACAACGCGGGTCCGAGGTGGCGTGTGCGGTGAGGAAGGGGTGCGGCTAGGGTGGCCGGGACGACGCATGAACAAAGGTAGAAGTCCTTCAGAAACAGAGACCGGCAAGGCCGGCTGGAGGTTGGGGATGGACCTAACAGGTGGGGGGCCACGTGACAGAGAGGACGAGAGGAAAAAGAGACAGGGGCAAGACAGTCATTTTGCACGTCTTCTCCATGCTGGCACGGTTCATGTGGCAAATGTGTAATTATCAAACTAAAGTTGGCAACTGGCTCAGTGTCTCTGGCAAGGATGATAAATATTTAAATTTCCCGGGGGCATTATGTGTAATTACCAAACTAAAGTTGGCAACTGGCCCATGGCAAGGATGACAAATATTTAAATTTTCCGGGGGCATTAACCTTTGAATACGCATGCATGGGGTACATGCATGTAGATGAGAAGTCAGATGAATTGCGACTACAGATCACCGTTGCCATTTGAATATTTTTCTCTAACAATTTCGAGTGCTACCGTCAGAAAATCTATTTGCGGCAACTACCAGAAGCATAAATTAAAGAAAAAAACTGCTATGCAGCACATATTTCAAAAGTCAACAATCACCGATCAGATTCTAACGTATTCCCTCGAGGTCACTCGTCATGAATCATGATACTTTAATTCCCTCACAAGAAAGCTAAGCCCCCACTGACTTGACTGCTCATTGTCAACACTGTCTTGATTGCTTCTAGACGGCGATCTCATGCTTCGACTCGCAGGACTGCCAGCAGTGAGTTCCTTTTGACCTTTCTCCTCACAATTATATTCACTTAAGGGCCAAAGATTGGCTTGACCAGGGAACCTGTCCATATCATCCTCAGTTGTCACCAGGAATTTCCTTGAATATCTGCGCAGCTATCAACTTCCCCATGCAGGTATTCAGACCCGTTGAATTCTAAATTTATAAATAGAATAATGTTAACTCTTTCACAAGGAAAAAGAAGAAATGATGGAAGGATATAAAATGTTAATTCAGAGCTTACAGCTGTCCAGATCATTCTTGGTTTATTCGCCAGGAATTTCCTTGAATCTCCACTGCCACCGGCTTCAGCATGCAGGTACATCCGATGTTATATATTTAATTTAAAGGTTAGCACCTTTCACAGGTAACATATCAGGTGCAAACCAACCAACCTGTGCAAACTTGGAAACTACCAATCAGGACCACTAGATGCTGATCCAATGGATAGGTTAAGGGAGCTTAAGCGCAAAAAAAAAAAAAGGCCGGCGGGTGGGAGGCTTAAGCGTAAAAAAATCTCACCTCTCACTCCATTCATTGGATTAGCATCTAGTGGTCCTGATTGGTAGTTTTTAAGTTTGCACAAATTGGTTGGTTTGCACCTGATACGTTGCCCCTTTTACAAGAAAAAGAGATATGGATGAGTTTTAAATTTTATTTCAGAGCTTACAGAACTGAAATGTAACTGGACCAAGTCAAAGCAAAAAAAATCCAGACCTATAAGATTTTCCATATAAGACTGCTTTGGCACACACACATTCTCCAAAACTTACACAACTCAAGGGGATGGAGTTAGCAGCTAGAACCACCTTCTTTGTGGTGTTCGTTATCCTCAGTTTTGCTCGTAGAGCTCCAATAAGTGGAGCAGCAACACTCAATGTTGGAGTGATCCTCAGCTTGCAGTCATTGGTGGGTAAGATGGCACGAACCAGTATTTTGATGGCCATGGAAGATTTCTACGCAGTTCACAGGAACTATAAGACAAAGCTGGTTCTTCACATCAGACATTCCAATGCAGACAAGCTGCATCAGAAGGTAACTTTTGGGTTATATGTAACTATCAATAAATTTTACTGGATGGAACTTACGAAACAAAAACCACCAATTGTATTTGGGTTTGTGTATCATAAAGAGGTTAATCCATTTTAGTCCATAGTAAACACATCGAAGGAGCAGGTTCTAGCGTATTCTAACAACAAACTATCTATTATGTGTTCTATGTAAGCAGTTGGCTAGCTTGCACCTCCAATCTCCTATCTCCTATACGGAGAACCTCATTAGCAGATTTTGCTGCGATCTCATAAAGCCACGTCATCATCTAGGGCCCGCTTCTCCACCTTCGTTGATGCATCAATGACTACTTTGCCTCTTCTCCTTTCCAGTGCAGCAAACGCCGGCGCCTGTTGCCACTCACGAGCAAATAAACAGCCACTCTAGCATCTGAACATACCAAGAAGTAAGAACTGCGCAACTCACAAGCAAATAAACAACCACTCAATGGCTCCTTCATTAGTGTGAACGATTGTCAGGAACCGAGGAGTCGATTGGTCAGACATATAAGCTAGCTACCTTCAATTCCATTCACCCTCTCATCTCGCCCATGAATTAGGTGTTAGCCTTCTCGATCGTGAGAACCATGCCGGCCGGCCATCTCCCTTGGCGCCAGCTTTGTCATGTTGGAGGGGCAGGGGCGATCAGCACGCTGCAGCAGCATGGCACATCACATGCATGTAACCCTGCCGGAGCCGTCCGGCGGCCGCGAGGCGTAGAAGTCGTCGAGCGCGAGCGACATGGACGCCCGTGACTCCCTCCCGCCAGTTGACCAGAGGTCGAGCAGCGCCCCGACCTGCAGGACGCTCGACGCTGCAGCAGGCGCGGTCGCCCTCGGCCTCTGCGCCCGCCCCAGCAGTAGTCTAGGATGATCACGGCCGACGAAGAGTAGCCAAGAAGAGAGAAGCACGAGGACGGAGACGATGATGTTCCTGCAGTCCACCATCTCTCTCTATTCCTTGTTGGGATTGACATGGTGCTCCATTGGTGCATCCATATATATAGCGCACGCCGTTGACTTTGTGTGTGGTCGGCCGAATGAACAGGACGATCGACGTACGATGGCGATGAGGATATATAGCGCGAACGACGACCATGCATGCAATGCAACCATGGCGACGAAATGAACTGAAAATCAGAAGTCTTCGTTTTTGCTACGAATTGGGACGCCATTAGTTAGGCATGGACCATGCGACTTTAACTTGCGAATGGTGCCGTACGTATGCTGGCTCTGTCCTTTCGCACGAGGGGAAGAAGATACACCGGTTCTAGGGCGCAGTCGAGCTAGCATGAGTCGCTCGGTCGCTCCTATGGCCCTGTTTGTTTATGCTTGTCTCAGACACGCTTGGATTATAATCTAAGCGAAGATTTTCTCGTTTCTCACTTTTCGCTTCTCGTAGTTCAAATCTCTGAAGCGGCTTACCACATAAGCGAGAATCGGTGAAAATAAGCAAAGCGTTTGGCGGGATTCTCGCTTATTTCCACCGATAAACCGCTTATAAGCGGAAACAAACAGGCCTGTATATGCCGTTCCGTCGTCGTGGATGACGGCGCTACTCTATACCTACAGCTGCAGGCAAATAATGGTTTGATGACTTTGGCACAGTGAGAAAGAGACTGTCGCCTGTGGCCTGCCAAAGGAGTGCCAGCCCGGGCCATAAAACATGCATGTTGTCATCCTGGGCTGGCTAGCCTCGTGTCCGTCTGTAGGCCGGTAGTACTGACGGGTAAGGCCTGCTTTAGACGTCCGTCGTGGTGTGGCCCAATCATGCTCAGGCCCAGTCAGCACCCATCCTCATCGCCGCGTGTACGGAACGACAACCCACAGAGACCTTCGTTCATGTCGCCCACGAGGCCACGACTGCGCGGTAATTCTCGCCTCGCCTCGTCGTCAAAGGTCCGCCAAACTGCTGCTTCGCTGCTCCACCTTGTGCCTTGTGCGCTTGGCTCGTCTCGTCTCATCTCGACCGAGTTGTCTCCACCCATGGCCGGCCGCGCCCGGCACCCTCGCTTCCGCCGTGTGTTCTTCTACCTCATCGGCCTGCTGGCCTCGCTCATCCCGGCCACGTCGCGGGCGCAGCCACCGGAGACGGTCACGGTGGGGCTCATCATCGACGCCGACTCGCCCGTCGGCAGGATCGCCAGCACCACCATCCCAATGGCGCTCGACGACTTCTACGCCGCCTTCCCCAACGCCTCCGCGCGGGTCCGCCTTCTGCAGCACGACTCCGGCGGGGACGTCGTCGCCGCCGCGTCGGCCGGTATGGACACGTGTCCCCCCAACCGCCCCCACCACTCCGTCGTCTCCGTTCGCTGACGTCCGCGTGCGTGCGTGCAGCGCTGCAGCTGATGACGGCCCAGGGCGCGCGCGCCATCCTGGGGCCGCAGTCCTCCGTCGAGTCCGCCTTCGTCGCGGACCTCGCCACGCGCGCTGAGGTCCCCGTCGTGTCCTTCTCGGCGACCAGCCCGTCGGTGTCCCACTCCGAGGCGCGCTTCTTCGCGCGCGCCGCGCTCAGCGACGCCAAGCAGGCGGAGGCCATCGCCGCGCTCGCCACCTACTTCGGCTGGCGCCGCGTCGTGCCCATCTACCAGGACGACGACTACGGCGCCGCCTTCGTGCCGTTCCTCGTGGACGCGCTCACGGCGGCGCGAGCGGAGGTGCCCTACCGCTGCGCGCTGCCCGCCGCGGTCACCAGGGACGCCGTCGCCGCCGCGATGTACCGCCTCGAGTCCGAGCAGACGCGCGCCTTCGTGGTGCACGCGCGCCCGGCGCTCGCGGAGCTCGTCTTCGCCGCCGCCGTGGAGGCCGGGATGATGGCGGAGGGCTACGCGTGGGTCATCACCGACGGGCTCACGGGCCTCCTCGGCTCCATCCAACCGCCGCAGGGCGTCATCGGGCTCGCGCCCCACGTGCCGCCCACCGCGCGCCTGCGCGACGTCCGGAAGCGGTGGGCGCACAGGTTCATGCGCCAACACCGGGACGCCGATCCGGCTCAAGCCGAGATGGGATGCTACGCGCTGTGGGCGTACGACGCCGCATGGGCCGTTGCGTCCGCGGCCGAGCGACTCAGCCCCGGCGACCTGTCATCGCCACCGGGGCTCGGCGGCGGCAGGAGCGGCCCCACCGACTTCTCCGGGCTCGGGAAGTCAATGTCCGGTGAGAAGTTCCTCGAGGCAATAACCAACACTACATTCGAGGGCCTCGGCGGCAGGTTCGAGCTCATCGACGGCGAGCTGGCAGTGCCGGCCTTCCGGATCGTCAACATCATGGACAACGCCAATGAGCGGGGCATCGGATTCTGGACGCAGAAGGACGGACTGCATAGGCAGCTTGGGCGCGGCCGCGGCGGGATCGCGTCGAACAGCGGGCTCGCGCCAGTGATATGGCCGGCGGACTCGACCGTCGTACCGATTGGTTGGGTCCAGCCGACGAGCGGCCGGAAGCTGCAGGTGGCGATGCCGGCGGGGCACGTCGACCCTGGCTACCAACCGATCATGCACCTCGACGTCGACCCAGCAACGAATCGGACGGTAGCCGGCGGGTTCGTGATCGAGGTGTTCGAGGCGGCGGTGCGTCTGCTGCCCTACGCGCTGCCGTTCGAGTACGTCCTAGTGGGCTCCATGCGCTACGACACTCTAGTCGAGAGGGTCGGCAAAGGGGTAAGTGCACTATCAAATCTTGAAGTTGTTAATTTCTACATATATACTCTGATTCTGTTAGTACATGTTTTACATTGCAAGATTGGCATTTTATGGTTTCTATAACAACCTCAACCAAACATTCGTGTTGAAATCTACATTAAATGACATAGAAGTTCATTTCCTTCACAGCAAAGGTTTTATAGATTTGATTATATATATCCGATGTAGCAGCTATTGATTGGCAGTTAGTATATTGCACAGGCTAATTGTTGCCTAATTGCATACAGCCTGTTCGCTTGCTCGTAAATGATCGTAAATTTCCAACCGGGAACAGTGTTTTTCTCTCACACCAAACCAGCCAGCAGTAAATAATCCACGATACGATACGGCCTCCCGAACAGGCTGATACTCCTTGTAATATAGTGCATTCTAGGAATTTTAAGACAAATTAAGAGAGAACAAAAGATACATGTACCCTCATATTATTTCTAAATCAGACGCTACTATCAACGTGATTAGTGGTGATTTATTGATAAATGGAAAATATTTAATGCAAAAGTGATTTTTGTCTTCTAGAATGCATTATATTTGAGGATAAATTTTGAATGCTAGAATGCACTATATTACAGGACAGAGGGAGTAGGCATTAGCTTTCTTTTCTTATCTAGTCTTTTTCTTTTCTTTTTTTTTTCTTCTGTGAGGATAGCACTTCCTCCGTTCTAAATTATAAGTCGTTTTAACTTTTTTGGTTTATCCATTTTGCTATGTATCTAGACATATTATTATATCTAGATGCATAGTAAAATTAATGTACCAAAAAAGTTAAAACAACTTATAATTTGGAACGGATGGAGTATTCAGATATACTCCGTCATACCCTAATTTTCAACCTTTATCAAGGATAAAATAACCACCATCAATGAAAATGAGATCAACACAACAAAGAAAACACATCTTATGCAACACCCCCAACCATTTACATGCTTCTCAAATCTCAAGTACAGCTTTTTATAGCTATACCAACCACTAAAAGCAATCTAATAGGAAAAATATAATATTATGAAAGCATTTTTCGTGGTAGTGCACACATTAATCTCAGATCATGCTTTAAATACATATATGATTTTTCTTAGTTATTGGAGGCCAAAGATGAAAAATGGCAAAGACTGACAAATTTAAGTTCCTTATATTTAGGATTGCAGACGGCTAGAGGTATAGTAACATTATTCATGTATTGGCCGGACAGCTATAGCGTAGAACATAAGCTTTACACAATGATTGGTCGGCTTTAACAGGTGGCGAGTTGACTTAGTGTATGGATTTAATGACTTAATAAACGGGACATTCTCATGGTCTGTGTTATTCGAAAGGAATTTAACCTTCAATTTACATCCATATTTGAGTATATAAAGAGCACGAGGGTTCGTTGACTTCAGAAGATTCCTTAGCATAGGCTTTGTCCAAACACGCGTTCTTGTCATTTATCTTCTAGTCAAGTCTTGTACATGTCATGTAGAGTACGTAATTAGTAGCTATTTTTATATAACACTACCAGACAATGCATAGAGTTTCTTTATGCTTTTTGGGTTGGTTTCATCCGTAGACAAATAGCTACTCGGATCCCCATGCTAATGCAACATACATACCAAAAAATGGCTTGCATTGCATTTACAAAAGTCGAGCATACTAAAATAAACACCATACTACTTTCTCTGTTCTAGATTATAAACCATTTTGACTTTTTTACATATATAAATTTTGCCATGCACTATATAGTATGTCTAGATATATAATATAAGTAATGTATCTAGAAAAATAGAAACATCTTATAATTTAAAATGCAGAGAGTAGTAAAGAGTCCCTGTACTAATTGGGCACCAAGTCACATATTTCTGAACTTCTATTTATACGAAGCTGTCAGTTCAAACTTCTCTGTCGCCGACCGTATATTTTGACTCGGAATGCATTGACCGGTAGACCGTTTCCAAGACATAAGTTGGCTCCTGTAGTAATCCATGGTCCATGGACCAAACCAAGAGTTGCATATATAAATAAAGTTGACCGATTCCGTTATAAGTTTCTTTAAAAAAAGCATTTGAGATTAATCAAGTCATATCGTTGTAGATACATTTAATTTATACAAACACATCATCTAGCACTAAAGGGATCGTTAGCTTCATCAAATGCAAGTAGCCGTACGAGTCAAATGCATGAGAACCTGAACTAATTGAACAGGTTTTACCGGTTCCATAGGAAATCTATATTCACCTGGGTCTCGTTTAGTTCACTTAGGCTTATTTGGATGTAGCATTCCAATACAACCCAACACATGTGGATTAAGGTGAATCCGACAACATCTAAACAAGGCCTTAAGCAGCATAGCCATTCAATGGAGCGAGTATCTAAAAAATGACTTACCGTTTGAAATGAAGGAAGTACTATATATATCATGTGGTTCAAAAGTCATTTTTTATAACTTGAAAATCATTTGAAATTAAAGTACTGTGTAGAAAGTAAACAATCAGGGTTACATGTATTTAAATGTTTATAGTGTGCAGGGATGAATTCAAGTAAATCCAGGCACCTACACATATATCGTTCTTTGGATTCGTTTATGCGAGAGGAAGAAATCTACTTTGGCTCGAGATAAACAGTTTTTTTTTTTGAGGGGGCTGGCCAGCCCAGCCAGCCAGCCAGCCTCAGACGAACGAGCTGATGACGCACCGGCGTACGTTGTTTCTGTGACGCTCCGGTTGCTTGAAGTGTGAACCCATGCCCAGATGGCACTTGCCTAATTTGTCGTAAAATAGACGCTGGTCGGTATCAAATCGCTATCGGTCCTGTGTGATCAAGGAGATGCAGACACTGTACTGCTTAGTGACACCTAATAATAATAGTTCAGTTAGCAATAGCCCTGTGCATGGGTGGGTTTATGACACCTAATAATAATAGTTCAGTTAGCAACGTCTGTCTCGAAGTCGTAACTCTACTTGCTTCAGCTTTATATATGAGTACTGAAGTATAAGTGAGCATACTTTATTACCACGCAAGTGGCCCAATTATTTTAGGATTTCTCTTACATTATTTTATTTAGGAGTTTAGGACTGCTTTGCTAGGTAATTGACGTATGGTTAATATGATAATTACTCACTTGGTCTAAAAAATCTACTATAGTATCGAGTTAAACCAATTTATATTTGACTAAGTTTCTAAAAAATCTTGATATTTATGATATAAAATAAGTACCACTAGATTTATTAGGGAATATGTTTTCTTTCATTATATATTTATTTGATGCCTGATTTTTTTTTCTTTTAGATAGTTTGACTAAGGACGGAAGTAGAGTTGCACGCTTTTCGTACTATAAGGTAGTACTTCGGTCTCAACTTATACCCTTTGTTCCAAAATCATTTTAGTTTTGTCTATATTAAACTTATTTAACTAGCTTTGATCATATTATAGAAAAAAGCAACATAATCTATAACATTAAAAGTTTCATAAATCTAATTAGATATTAATATATTTTTATATAAATTTGATCAAGACTCAAAGTAAGAGAAGTGTACCTAGAACAAAAACTATAACAACCTATACTTTGGAGTCCTGATTTTTCACCACAGTTTGACCCTTAAACTATGCCTGTGACTGGCATAGATTCGTGTTGTTACAAACCAACAAACATTATTTTACACTCTTCTTAATCGCATGTATCAGAACGTAACAGATTAGCTGGAATGGAATCACAAACCGAGACTCAACTAAGTTGGGCTTGAGCTTACAAGATAGTCCCAAAGTATCCGATCCAAGGATTTGAGCTTAACTTAGCTGCATCGTGTTCGTGTCCACAGGAGTTCGACGCGGCGGTGGCGGACATCACCATCACGGCGGACCGGTCGCAGCACGTGGACTTCACGCTGCCGTACATGTCGTCGGGGATCTCCATGGTGGTGCCGATGCGCGACCAGCGCAGCAAGCGCCCTGGGCCTTCCTCAAGCCGCTCCGCTACGACCTCTGGCTCGTCAGCTTCGCCTTCTTCGTCTTCACCGGCTTCGTCGTCTGGGCCGTCGAGCACCGCAGCAACAAGGAGTTCCGTGGCCCCCCGTCCTACCAGATCGGCACCCTCCTCTACTTCGGCTTTTCAACCCTCGTCTTTGCACATAGTAATGCAAATGCTCCCCCTGTTGCTTGGCTGCTTGCGGTGATCCGCCATTGCCCATTGGTAACGACGTGCTTGAATCGGTGGTGGATGCAGGGGAGAACCTGAAGAGCAACCTGTCGCGGTTCGTGGTGGTGGTGTGGGTGTTCGTGGTGCTCATCCTGCAGTCCAGCTACACGGCGAGCCTGACGTCCATGCTGACGGTGCCGCAGCTTCAGCCGGCGATCGGGGACTTCGCCTCGCTGTGGCGGGGAACGGACAAGGTCGGGATCATGAACAACTCCTTCATGTGGGCGGCCATGAACAAGTCGGGCTTCCCTCAGTCCAGGCTCGAGCGGTACCAGGCCACGCAGAGCTTCCACGAGGCGCTGCTCAACTGCACCATCGGCGCCATCGTCGACGAGACGCCCTACCTCAGGCTCTTCCTCAAGTCCTACTGCGACAACTTCACCGAGACCGCCCAGAGCAACAAGACCGGCGGCTTCGGCTTCGTAAGCGCCCTGCTTGCTGCCACTAGACATCGTCACATCATCACTTGGTGTGCAGGTGCAGCATTTCGATCGATCGGCAACTAATAACTTGTGTCGTGCTCGTGCATGGACGACGATCTCGAGCAGGCGTTCCCAAGGGGTCGCCGTACGTGGCGGACCTGTCGCGGGCGATCCTGAACCTCACGGAGAGCGACGAGATGAGCTTGATCGAGCGCAAGTGGTTCGGCGATGCGGACGGCTGCACGGCGCAGGGCAGCCAGTTCACGTCGGACAGCCTCAGCTTCGACAGCTTCTGGGGCCTGTTCTCGTCACCGGCGCCACCTCCCTCCTCTGCTGCGCGCTGCACCTGCTCATCTTCGTCGTGGCCAACCGCCGGCGGATCTGGGCGTCGCGCGTGCCCTGGAGGAACAGGCTCCGGATCTTCCTCAAGCTCCTCGACGACAGGGACCTCTCGTCGCACACGTTCAGGACCAACAAGGATGCCGGCGGGTCGGTGGCTGGTCGGAGCGCTAACGACGCGGGCGCCTCCCGCCCCGGCCGTCGCGCACATTGCAGCCGGCAGCCCGCTCAGGGTGTCCAACCACACGTACGACATGAGTGACTGGTCGTTTGGTGCGCCGAGCCCGGCACCTGCAGCTGCAGGTGAGAATGAGATCGAGCTGGCTGGCGCCGCCGAGGCAGACGAGGTGGCCGCAGCTCCCAACCCCGGCGGCTCTGGTGATCAAAGTGGCACAGTCCACTGATCTACTGCTATTTCCCGACTTCTCTTACTGCTCTGGCAGGAAATGTTAATGGGCAACTGCTGATCGATGATACGTGTAGATTAATTCATTTAATTGCAAGAGCTCAAGGATAATGGCACTGTTTATATGCATGTAGCCAGCTGGAGGTCATCCTTCTTACGTGTAACGTGTTAAGATAGGGTGTTTTAAGTAATTGTAAATTGTATATAAACTGCTCGTCTAAGAAAACTGCATTGTAAATTGCAGGAAGTCCAATAGTGAAATTCTCAAAAGGTTCAGTAGTGAAGTTAGTTTTTTTCCCCTATACCTATGAACACCAGCAGATCTCAAGATCGACGAAGACCACATATGTCTCGATATCGATAGACATGTCACTTACCACTAAAATGGAAGGATAGAATCGTTGAATTTGAAAATAAATTTAGAAAAATACGAACACAGGTGGACATGTTCTACCACAAGTAACCTAGCTGAGTTCGCTGCACTTGTTGTCAACTTATCAAAATATTGTTAAAATATATTGGTGTAGAGGATGAAGCTTTAATTTCTGGTAATACTCATATGCTTTAATTTGTCCCTCCACAAATTTTTCATTGCAAAACTCAACTTAATTAAAAAAATACAAAACTAAGAAATTCTTAGTGGTTTCAAATGTGTTATAAACGTATTGAGGTATAGTTAGAATATATCGGTGTAGAGGATAACACATTATTTTCTTGTAATACCTTGTATGCTTTAATTTGTTCCTCCACAAATTTTCATCACAAAACCAACTTAATTAAAAAGAAACAAAAACAAGAAATTCTTTTTTGTGGTTTCCAAAAACGGTTCCCTATATGAACCACTTTTAAAAATAGAAGTATTTCTAGAGACCATAACCTCTAGAAATACCCTTTTCTAGAGGTGGTCCATAGTTGTGGGTTCCTAGCCAACTACATATGCGGTGGTCACCATTATGGTCGATCTATGTAGTAAAATGAGTTGTCTTCAACATGATTTTTTAGTAGTGCTAATTGAACTCTAGGGGCATAGGCATGACCATCGAGCGTCCTTCCACCAAGCGCTAGCTCTCACCTGTAGCATCCCAGCCTCATCATCGCAGAGTGTATCAAGGAGAGTCCATGCGGGCACAAGAATAATGGTAGTGTCAAGGTTATTCTGGCCCGTGCAATGATTTCCTTCCATATCTTGGTGGTTTAGCAGGCGATGGCGGCAATGCCCTCGCCTTCGATGAAATAGATTTGTATCCAAAACGACTTCAAGGCCGATGATATTGATTATTTAGTAATTACCAACATATTGGAAGAGAAAATCAACAGTCAAATCTACTTGGTATGACCCTTCTTGACCAAATAAATGTGCTTATCATTCTTGGACAGAGGGCTGTGACACTTTTGATCCAAGTTTCCCACAAAGATTTCACAATTGAACCTTCCACATGGTCAAGCAAAGAATTCTATCTTTTGATAGAATCAGCCAATGACACAAATATCCCTTCAACAATTCCAGCAAAACGTAACAACCTTACTACAAGATTTAGCCATATCACAAAGAGTAATAAAAATTATGGCAAGCACATATTAGAACTATTATCATAAGCTCATAGCCTTTGCTCCTTAATGTCATCAATATTAAGATGGAATCAAACAATACACTAAAAGTCCCAAAACTAGATGTGTCATCTACCTTCAAGAAACCAAGAAATTAAGTACTCTCGATTTTAATTTTACCATTATAAATATTACACATCATACAACAAACTTATTTTGTTCTTGGTGACTGAAAGTGCAATCAAGCCTTAATTGTAGGTTTTGGTGATAATGACGACGCAATTAGAGAACTAATGAGATTTATCGAGATGACAAGCAGAGAACTTATATTCGAGGATGCTACACGGAACAGAGGAGTCCCTAATTACAAATGTAGATGGCTTCAAACTCAAAGGAGGTTTAAATTCTTTTATATATTGAATTTGAGTATAAGAAAAGCCGTACTATAAAGGGGGGGCACAATGCTTAAGCTAATATGTGCTACCAAGTGTTCAAACAACCACAAGTATCATCAGATTCAGCTAAGATAGTCTACACTTCACTGTTACCCTTGCTGTCTTACATGGTGCGGCACTGCCACACTTGAAGAGAGGCTCGCCTGACCCCTTGGTCGCAGGCTTCGGTTCGCCCGACCCCTGGGTCGCGGGCTCTGGCTCGCCCGACCCCTTGGTCGCGGGCTCCGGCTTGCCCGACCCTTTGGTCGCGTTCTCATCTCGCCCAACCTCTTGGGTGCAGTGTTCGTTGAGAGATGGGGGAATATATACTTTTCCCTTTCCTTCCCAACGGCTATCTGCGATTTTAGTGACTGTTGGGGGCCGGGGGTATATATACCTTTCCCCTTCATTCCCAACGGGAATGAACCAGCTCTCTTCTTCCTCACTTCAGCATGCTCAAAACAGAGCAGGAGCTCTCTCTCTCACTCTCTCACTCCACTGTTGACCTCAAGCCCTCAAGCAAATCCATTGATTTTTCCATCAATCATTGAGGAAAAAGAGTCCCAAACTTGATTAGAGAGCAGCTCCATTGATTTCCAAACTCTAAAGAGTACTTGGTTCACGTTTTGGCCAGCGGTTGTGTTTGTTACTCTTGGAGCTTGGCTCCTAGCCGGCTAAAGCGTCGCCCGTGGAGTTTGCCAACTTGTGTGGCAGCCTCGGGAGGTTTGTAACCATCTCTTGAAGCGAGTAAACTCACCCCTCATCTCAAGAGTTAAGTCTCTTGACTTGAGAACGAGGAAGGGTTGGAAAGCTCTAAGCCTTAGTGGCTAACCTCAACAACGTGGAGGTAGGCAAGCCTTGGTGGCAAGCCGAGCCACGGAATAAATCATTGTGTCACTTGTGCTTGATTTACATTACTTGCATGATATATTGTTGATTGAGGTGATTTCTAGAGTTTAAGGCCGATCTACTTGTGTGTGGTGTTCCCACCACTTTCAGTGTCGATCTGTGATCTACTACCTTACAGAAAGCTAAGAAATATACCTGATCTAAATTTTGTTGGGAAGATTTTGAACTGTGAACTAATCTCTCATACAGGTGCGGCAGTGCCGTGGGTGAATTTGACTTCGATTTGCGTTGAATTTTTACAGGCCTATTCATCCCCTAGGCGTACCAGAGATCCTACACTGACTAACATCTGAAGTACAATCAAGGATAACTTGGCCTCTTTAACAATCTTCTTGATACATTTTGAAATGTCAGAGACCATAAGAGAAATCAACTCATTCTGGATTTTATGGATAAGATAACTATAATGAATCTCTTTGTTTTGAATATACCTCAGGCGGCGTTGCATTATTAAATCAAATTCTTCAATCATCTCAACACAACATAAGAAATTGTTATTGAGGTCTTGGTCACTGGATTCTCTAAAGCCGAATTGCGTTCACAACATAAGAAATTGTGATTGAGGCCCTGCTCACTGGATTCTCTAAAGACAAATTGCGTCTACCAAGAAATTTTACAATAAACTTGACTTATGCGTTCTTCCTGCTTTGAGATTTGTTGCTATAACCCTTTGTCTCGCTCGTTTCAGCGAGCAAAAGATAGAAATCACGAGCGTCGCGGCGATACAATAAGGGGACCAAATACGATGTTTGCTTCGGTTTCTAGCTTGAGAGGTCGGTCGAGATTTCAAAGACGGAACCAAATCCGCCCAAAGGACCGACACTGCAAAGATCGTCGTCCACGCCCTGCATAGTGCATACAAGTCAAAGGTAAAGTCGCTGCCACCTCCGACGACTCCAATGGCGATGGCGGAGGTCGTTAACGCGGTATTAATTTAATGCCGCGTTGCGCGCTTCCACAGATTCTTTGTCCTCTAGAGAGAAATAATATCCAGCAGATGGTAGAAAAGATTCCATGCTGTTTAATCCCTGGATAATCGATCGACGTCGACGTCGCTGTCGCTGTCGAGTTTGTTCTGGCTTTGCAACGAACTTATCCCCACCTATTCTTGCCATTTTAAATTCGCGCGAGATCGATCTGGACAGGATAGTCGCTGCAGAAAATTCCAGCTTGGACCGTTTCAGTGGCCGGGACGTGAAGCAACGCCGGGCGGGGCGGAGATCTCCCGGTGTTCCATACTTCCAGTTCCATCGCAACAAGAACTGGACCACTGGGTTTTCAAATTCAGCTGCCAGAAACTGCTGTCCCGAAGACTTTGACCGCACGACAGCTAGCCTCTGATTCCACGCCTCCTCTGGGCGCTCGAGCTACACCTACACGCGGCTCCCACGGCGCCACAGCCACGGCCAGCTTGGAGTTTTCTCGCCACGGCCGCGGTAGGTCACGCCGTGCCGACACGAAAGTAGTACCCTGGGCTCGCATTGCGTCGCCCAAGGACCAATCGCGCGCCCTGCAGCGCCAGCCCTGGACATGTCACATGTGTAGAAGAGATTCCCGTAGCCTCGGCTCCCACGGCACGGGGGCAGCGCTGTATGGCTGTGTAGAATTTTGCGGCAATGTGCCAGGGCGCCAACGCGGTGACCGCGACCTTGGTTGGCGGCTTGGCGCGATGCGCACCGGCGGCGGCCGTAAGCGCGTGTACTTGGGAGAAACGGAAACTGATATCGGCAAAGGTGTGGCGTGTTGCTGCATGTAGAAAGGCCGTGCCACCGAGGGCAACCACTAGTCACCTTGGTGCTAGATGCAGCGACCGTTAGCCAATCGAGCAAAAGAACCAGTTTCTCCTTTAGGTGTCCGTGTCCCCATGAAAGCGGGAGCGGCTGCAGGTCACCTGGTAGTAGCGGGCGCTCGCTCGTCTGGTTCCGTATCGGCACCCTCGTTTCGTCTTCTCGCCGTCCTCCTCCTCTGCCTCGTCGGCGCGGAGCAGGCGGCCCCTGCTGCCGGTGCCGGAGAGAGGCGGGTGGACGTGGGGGTGATCTTGGACCGGACGACATGGCTGGGGAACATCAGCTGGGCGTGCATGGAGCTGGCCCTCGAGGACTTCTACGCCGACGCGAGCCACGCCAGCTACAGCACCAGGGTCAGGCTGCACCTCAGGGACACCCCGGCCGGGCCGAGGGCCGTCGACGCCGCGTCCGCAGGTACGTCGTCCTCGCGGTCCGCCTACTGCTGCTCATTTCGTTTCATTCATTCGTCGAGCCTACCTGCTGTGCGCTTATATTATTAAATTTCGGCCTCTGCACAAGACTAGCTTGCATAGGTTCGGAGTACGCTGCACTGTGTATATACGTTAGGCCTCGTTTAGTTCAAAAACTTTTCTCAAAAAGTGCTACAGTAGCCATCACATCGAATCTTACGATACGTGCATGGAACATTAAATATAGACGAAAAAAAACTAATTGCACAGTTTGGTTGGAAATTGAGAGACGAACGTTTTGAGCCTAATTAGTCAATGATTGAACACTAATTGCTAAATAAAAACAAAAATGCTACGGTAAACCAATTTCCAAAATTTAGCCACCTAAACGAGGCCTAATTTCGAGCTCGATCTTGCGCAACGATCTTGCGCCGAAACTTGTTGGGCTTCACGGAAAGAGCTCACATTGTTAGATACTCCGTAGCTTGTAAGCGTCTTTGACAGCGCTGTCGTGGGAGACACCGCTTCCCCAAGCTTGGCACTGCATCCCATTGTGGCTGTATACCCTGCTAAAATTTAGCTAATAAAATCAATGAATAAACTTTAGTCACTTCTGTTTGATTTTAATTATTAAAAGTAACTAAAGACTATGAAAGTAGTTTAACAAAGACCAAATATCCCTAATAAATACCTAAATTAAGGTGGGGGACCAGCAATAATGAGGGACAATCCTTGTCCACTGGACACTTTAGCCCACTTTTAACTATTCTTGGATGACTAATGTGACTAAACTATTTTAGTTCCTTTTAAATCAGTTTGTTTGGTAGTTTAGAAGCTAAAGTGACTAAAGTTTAGCAGCTAAACTTTAACGAGGAACCAAACATGGCCATAGTGTAAATTGCCGGTTGCAGGGCAGGGCGGTGCAAGGGCAGCGCGTTGGAAACTCAGATGCTAGGAAGCCATCATCAGGCAAGTACGCTGGTTACACGTTAGCCGTTTCATAATAAAATTGTACTCACCTAGTTTCAAATTATAAAACAATTTGACTATTTAGATGTAGAGTTTTTCTATACATTTTGGATATATAGTATGCTCAGATACATAATAAAAATAATATATTAAAAAACCAAAACATATTATAATTTAGAACAAGAGAGTATTATACAATGCCATCTAATAAGATGTTTTATAATGTGGAGAAAAAGATGATGATGGTGTGTCTTTGTTTCCAAAGCATTTCAACCCATAAACTAAATTTTAGAACTCTTATACTACTTGGTGCATCATTATACGAGTTAATTGTGGGAGCATATGTATGAGGAAGTTTTTTTTGAGCTGTTATTTTTTTTAGCAACGTTTTTAATTATTTTTTGAGGAAATAATATTAATAAGCTTATTAAAAGTCGCTATCCCGACGCATGCTGGGCTCGGTCAGATTTCAGAAGGAAGAAATCTACTTTGCCTCCCTCAACTATCGCAAAAATCAATCTTTCCTCTCTAATCTAGAAAACCAGACATAACTCCTCCCCCATCTTTCCAAATAGGACATATGACCTACCTGGCTGTTTTTCTAGGTGTTTTTTTTCTCTTTTTTTATATTTATTTCGGCTAAATCTTTAAAAAATCATAGTGAATTACAGAAAAATAATAAAATGTAAAATCCAATTTTATTGGACTCCTCATGAATAGATTTACACAATAAACATATGATATGATATGTTTTAGTACAAAAGTTTTGCTCTAGCTTTAGATCTATGCTTTTCAATGATTAATTCATAACTATATTTTATGTGGTCTTATTGTGGTGAAATTTTTATGGTGGGCTAACATTATATCTTTAAATGTAGTAAAAATTTTATGCTCATTGGATCATGTATGAATGAGTTATAGATTTATTAAGGTTTATGCTTATTAAATAGGTTTTAAATAGTTTATAGTGTGTAAAAATAGAAAAATATGTGTTCTCTGTGTAATTTTCTCTTTGACAACATGATTATATTAATATTACTATTGTTGTATCTTATGAACACTTAACATAGATATAACGAATATGTACTAAAGCATGCAATGATTAGCCCACCGTATATGATCCAGTGAGCATGAATTTTTTTACTATAGCTCAAGCATGCAATGATTAGCTCACCATAAAAATTATTATTGTTATATCTTATGAACACTTAACATAACCATATTGTCACAGAGAAAATTACATAGAGAACACGCATTTTCTATTTATACACACTTTTAACTATTTAAAAACTATTTAATAAGCATAGACCTGAATAAATCTATAACTCAGTCATACATAATCCAATGAACATGAAATTTTTATGACATCTCAAGCATACACTAATTACTCCACCATAAAAATTTCACCACAATAGGACTACAGAACTGCAGCTATGAATTAATCACAGAAAAACATAGATCTAAAGCTATATCAAAAATTTTGAACTAAAGCATATTATATCATATGTTTACTCTGTAGATCTACTCACGTGGAGTCCAACAAAATTGGATTTTCTATTTTATGATTTTTCTGTAATTTACTATGATTTTTCAAAGATTCAACCAAAATATATATAAAAGAAAAAGAGAAAAACCACTTAGAGAAACAGCCAGGTAGGTCATATGTCTGGTTTCAAAAGATGAGGGAGGTGTTATGTCCGATTTTCTAGTTTAAGGAGAAAAAACTGACTTTTGTAATAGTTGAGAGGGGCAAAATAGACTTTTTTTCAACTACATCCGCGCGCGCAGTGTGGTGGTCGGCTCGACCCAAGCCAGGAAGGCCCAATGGCCAATGTGGTGTGTCAGGCGAGGGCCCGCCGTTAACTAAACCGCAGCCCAACGCCCCAACGCGACTGCCCAGCCCAGGGAATTCGAGCCCATAGCAACAGCCTGCCCACATCCCGCCGCCCCGCGGCTTCTCAGTTCTCACTTTTCGGCCGGCGGCCGGCGACGCTTACGGCGGCGGAGGGTACTCTGTCTCCCGCGCCGCCGGGGCACTAGCCGCACTACCGACCCGCTCCTGGCGCCCTCGTCGTTTCCTTTCTCTCGGCATAAGGAGAAGGTACCCCGCTACCCCACGACCGCATTTGGTGTTTGTAGTAGTACGCAAATTGGGGGTTTCCCATGGTTCTATCTGTGGAGTGTGGACGCCTGAGACTTACAATGCCCAATACATACATTCCACAAGGGACGTTGCTCATCCTAGCTTTCAGTTAGGATAAGCCCATATATGCGTTTAAACCTCGTTTCCCCCACCTGAAGTTTCCCTTTCGCATCCTAGTCTCAGAATCCCTGGATCTGCTGCAGGTTTCAAACTAATTTTGCATGTTCAGGTAGGATGAATGAATGCCACCGAACTTTTCAGTTTCATGAATCGTTATTCGCTGACATATGTTTGGGTCTTTGTGAAATACTGCAGGTGTTGATCTACTAAAAAATGTCCGTGTGCAAGCAATCGTCGGGCCACAGACATCTACTCAAGCTAAATTTCTTGCAGAGCTTGGGAACAAGGCATCAGTTCCAATCATTTCCTTTTCTGCAAATAGCCCGTCCCGGTCATCCAGCCAGACCCCATACTTCATCAGGACAGCATGGAACGACTCCTGTCAAGCTGAAGCTATTGCCTCACTTGTCCAGAAATACAATTGGAGGGAAGTCATTCCTATCATCGAGGACGATGATTCCAACGCTAGATTCATCCCTGATCTCGTTGATGCCCTGGGACATGTCGATACTCGTGTTCAGTACAGGTGCAAGATCCGTCCTTCTGCTGGAGAAGATGAGATAAAGCGTGCTATATCAAGCTTAAAAGAAAATTGGACAAGCGTCTTTGTTGTGCGCATGTCATATCAGTTAGCCCTTAAGTTTTTCCAGCTTGCTAAGGATGAGGGAATGATGGGCCAGGGCTTTGTCTGGATTACAGCATATGGTTTGACTGATATCTTCAATGTGGTTGGTTATCCTGCACTTGGTGTGATGGAAGGTGTTGTTGGGATCGAGCCTTATGTTCAAGAAACTGCGAAACTAAACAAATTTAGACAAAGATGGCATGAGAAATATAGGTCGGAAAATCCTGGTACATCAATTAATGAGCCTATAACGTCTGGTCTATATGCATATGATACAGTATGGGCAATAGCATTAGCAGCAGAGAAGGCCGGATATGTTAATTCAGACTTTGTTCTGTCTGAAACAAACAATGGCTCCACTGATTTCGACAAACTGAGTACTTCTAGGGCTGCTGAAAATTTTTGCAATGTATTCTTGAAGGTTAATTTCACAGGCATTAGTGGGCAATTTGTCATTCAGGATATGCAGTTAGTATCAACAACTTACAAAATTATCAATGTAGCTGGTCGGGAGAGGAGAGCAGTTGGTTTTGGACTCCAGGATTGAACATATCCAGAATTCCTATCGTATGGCCAGGAGGCAGTGAGAAGACACCTAGAGGATGGCTTTTGCCAGTGAATAAAGAACTCAAAATAGGAGTACCTGTGAAACCTGGGTTTAGGAGATTTATAAGATCTGAAAATGGTATCCCCAAGGGGTTCTGCATTGATGTATTTGAGGAAGTCATTGGTAAACTGCCCTACAAAGTTCCCAAGCATTATGTGGAGTTTGGAAATGGAAAAGGAGAAAGTAATGGAACTTATGATGAACTCGTCTACAAAGTTTATCTTAAGGTATGTATGGACCTATTTTTCTTGCATTTTATTCCTTGTTACAGTCAAACTGGAGGTGTTGAACTTGTAGTTAAATACTGGCCAGGTATGTGCATTTATTACATGATCAAAAGTGATCTGAACTTGGCAATTTGTTGTCCTTGTTGCTCTTCTTGAGTGCACAGAATTGGCAGCATGTGATTTGTCTACAGATTGTCCACCATGTTAATGTCTAAGGTAGCTTACGGATGGAAACCATTGCAAAAGGGGCGGATCCAGCATGTAACCATTGGTGTCGATTGACATCAATGAACCGTCGCTAATACGATTAAGCTTTTAATTTAGATAGCAAGTAGCACTTGTAATATGTAGTTGGCTTTCCTTTTTAATAGGAGTGACATCAGTGGCAACATTTTATTGTCCCCAAATGATTTGCAGTTTATTCTGTGCAAAATGGTTTATGTTTTTCCAAAGTATATCAACCAGTTTTATGTTAATTGCTGGCAGGAATTTGATGCGGTAGTAGGTGACATAACAATTTTGGCCAACCGTTCTCTATATGTGGACTACACTCTTCCTTATACTGAGTCAGGGGTACGCATGCTGGTTCCAGTTCGGGACCGGAGACAGAAGACTGCATGGACATTCCTAGAACCATTGACAGCTGATCTATGGTTAGGAGCTGGAACCTTCGTTGTCTTCACAGGTTTTATAGTTTGGTTTATCGAGCACAGAACGAATCAGGAATTCAGAGGACCGCCAGCCAGTCAAATTGGATCAGTCTTCTACTTCTCCTTCTCAACACTTGTATTTGCTCATAGGGAGAGGATTGTGAACAATTTATCAAGAATTGCAGTAGTTGTTTGGCTTTTTGTGGTGCTAATATTGCAGCAGAGTTATACTGCAAGCTTAAGCTCAATTCTCACGGTAGAACAGCTTCAACCAACAGTCACCAATATAGATGAAGTTATCAGACGAGGGGATTATGTTGGCTACCTCAATGATTCTTTCATGCCTGAGCTTTTGAAAAGGTTGAAAATTAATGAAACAAAAATGATCGCCTTCAGCTCTCCTGAGGAGTACAATGACGCCCTATCAACTAGAAAAGTTGCCGTCATTGTTGATGAAATACCGTACCTCAAAGTGTTTCTCTCAAAGTATTGCCACAAGTACACTATGGTTGGGCCAACTTACAAATTCGATGGATTTGGTTATGTAAGTGACTTTTTTTTACTTCTCCGCAGTTGTCTGTTTTCAGTACAGCTTAGTGATGAATCAAATTGCATCTACTTTGTTGCAGAACTCTGCTATTGTACTAGATCATAGTTTCTAAAATCTGATGCCATGAGAGCAATTTTTGGTATTCGAGTAAAAAAGAGAGCAATTTTTGACAAAGATTGAAGTTTATTGTTGTCTGGGATTCCTAAATCTTCCAGATATAAAAATGGCAAAGGATGAGATGAATGATCAGATTTGTCTTCTTGTGGAAATGAAACTCAACAAGCATATACTTTCTGGAAATGTGGTGCCATGTTATTGGCTTCCAGTTGGGGGGTGGGAGGGGCATAAAAGGCTTACATTACATGTTTCTAGAAGTATTAAATAGCACAAACAAATTTACTTTACCAGATTCTCATGCAGTTTTCTCGTAATTGTGTGGTGCTAGTTCAGTATGTTTTCAATTAGATTGCTAACCACTTAATGTCAAAATTACGATCAATTTTTTCAATTAGATTGCTAACCACTTAATGTGAAAATTATGATCAATTTAATTGTCCTCACCATTATACAGGGTTTGTGCAAGTGGTTGATATAACTGGCCCACTGTTACATTGGGCCTTTATAAATGATTAATAACTTACATGGCGTTTTATAGCATTTGTATATTAATTATTGGCATGTTTTACGATTCTCATCTCTGTTCTATTCCTGCAGGTGTTCCCTCGAGGAGTCGAGGCTCTCCACTTACACCTGAAATTTCAAGGGGAATACTGGAACTAGCATCAAATGGCACAATGGATGAACTGGAGAAACAGTTGTATGGTGATACATCGTACCCAGACAAAGATGACTCCCAAACTTCAAGCAGCCTTACGTTGCATAGCTTTCTTGGGTTGTTCATCATCACTGGGACAACTTCATTACTGGCACTGATTTTGCATGTCACTATAACCCTTTATGATCATCGGAGTCATTGGATCAATGGCAGCGGTCAGATATCATGGCATGAATTGCTTGCTATTCTCTTCAAGATTTTTCATGAGCGTGATAATAGCTCTAATACTCCGGATGAAGAGGAGCCTGGAATGGAAGATATAGATCCTCCTACAGCTGAGAGTCCATGGAGCATGTCTAATCACATCATCGAGAATGTTGATTCAGACACTGATACGGGAAGCACACCAGAAGGAGAAGGAACTCCGGGCAGGGAAGTTTCAAATCAGGATCCTGGTCCACCATCATTTGCATACATGCATTCTGAGGGGGCAATGGAGTAACTAGCATTCTTTTATCTCGCACCGCGAGCACCAAGAACTCTATTGTCATATCACATACAGTTCAGTGAAATTGATTTAGATGTATCGTCTGCCTCTAGTTTCATGTTTAATACAAGTGTGTTAACATGTACTGCTGGTTGTCATGGCTAGTTAACTAGAAAATTTAACATAGTAAAATCTTTGTTGAAAGGGGTCCCGGTGCATCTTATAGAAGTGTGGCTCTGAAATGGACAGCAAATTTGTCTGTGTTTTTTTTTTCTTATCTCCTGATACGCACCAGATTCCTAAAAACTAGCAATTGCCTGGTACCAATGTACTGTTGCGGTTTCCAAGTGAACATTATCTGAACATAAAATTCATTACCCGTAGACTGTCCAGTTTATTAGTCACTCTCGAGCAATTGATCAAATACTGTCACTGAGTCAAAGCTTTGTTGATGGTTACTAAGATACATCGATATACAAACGCCTAACCAAAGAAAAGATAGCATTTCATACACAAGTGTCACCAGGCAGTGCAGAACTGCATAATACTAAGTTGATGTTCCAATCCTGAATTTCTGTAGGAGATTAGTGTATGTCCCTAGCCAGCAGACTCATATGGACCGCTCCAGCATTGACAAACAAACACATATCAAGAGATTCCAAATCTTCAGAAAAGAAAACAGACCGAACAATGCACCAGATATATCATATATATGTTCAGAGTTGAGACCGAAACTATCTACTCAGTATGATATCACACGTCCACAACTAAAACTTCATCAATCTAGATATATATATCTTACACGTGCTAGATAGTAGTGCATGTCTGCAAAGTTTCTAGCACTGGTTGTACCCTTGCGCGTAGTCATGGAACACTGAATCCACTCCAGGAGTGGAGCAGCAGGAGCTCCAAGAACCAACGCTGCCGTTCGCCGTCTCATGATGATCCATTATTGCTCTGAAGCAGTGGTCTATGCCGTCTACTGCCACCTCGTCGCCGATGTGGTGGCCGTTGTTCTCCCCGAAGCACTGAATCTGCCGGAGCAACATGTCGATCTCATCGTCCATGCTACTCCCAAACGTCGCGGAGGCAGAGCTTGCTGTCGGCGTCGAGCTCGAGCTCTCCACGCCTACTGCCGTCATGGTCTCTCCGGTGCTAGTCGAGAGCGGCGGCGGTGTGCAGGTGCCATGCATGTTCTGTTGCACTCCAGCGCCTGTGTAGCCGAAACTGCCTGGCATGTGAGTCCAGAGCCCGGCGGAGTAACCAGTGGAAGTAGCACCGGCCGGTGGCTGCCGCGGCAGAATCTCTGAGGTCTCACTCGCGGCCGGCGAAGGAGAAGGCGAGGGAGACAGGCTCGGCCACAGCGGCGCACCGAGGCTGCCGTAGTTGTACAAGGTGAAGGCCGCCGCCGTCGGGTTGTCGAGGCGAGCCTGGTGGCGCCGGTGCAGGCGCATGCTCACCTGCATCCTCTCGAGCGCCGACGAGGCGAAGGAGTTGTGGTGCTGCCAGGTCGGGCTCGTGAGGAGCTGGAGGCGCGCCTCTGCCCTCGGCCGCCGGCCGCCACCGAGCAGGCGGCGCTTGAGCTTGGTGTTCCAGTGGTTCTTGACGTCGTTGTCCGTCCTCCCCGGCAGCTGCGCGGCGATCGTTGCCCACCTGCAGCCGAACAACCAAGACATATCACATATGATCAATGGTTATTATCAATAATCCCTCGGCATCGGCAAGCTGGGCTGCTGATTATTGACCTGCTAACTCTTTGAGTTGCAGTGGTTGAAAAAGGTGCTTGAATTGAACGCGCTGAATATTAGCTACTGATGAACTGTACGACGCGTATGCTCACCTGCTCCCGATGCTGATGTAGAGGCTGCAGATCAGCCTGTCCTCCTCCTCCGTGAAGCCGCCGTGCCTGATGTTGGGCCGGAGGTAGTTGAGCCACCGCAGCCGGCAGCTCTTGCCGCACCTGTTCAACCCTACAATAAATGAGCAAAGGCAACGACGCCGTTCAGCGTTCATGTCATGCACGAGCGATAAATCGAGTTCGCTGCAGGCAGCAGCTAATAATGCTATGCAGATGACACAGCTAACTACTGCTCCTACCGATCTTGTGGGGGAGCTGTATCCAGTTGCCGCCGGCGCCGTGCTCGTCGATGTAGGCCTTGAGCACGGCGTCCTCCTCCGGCGCCCACGGCCCCTTCTTCACCGTCGCCTTGTCGCAGCACGGCGCCCTGCCCATCTCCTCTCTCTTTGCTAGCTGCTCGATTGTGCCGCGCGGCGGTGAAGTCGATCGGCAGATCGAGCTCTCTCTCTCTCTCTCTCTCGAGTGGCTTGGAAATGGCGTTACGGCGGCGCAGCAGGCACGCTCTCTCTAGGTCTCTAGGAGGCGTGGCTGACAGGCTGAGCCTTGTGGCCAGGGATAGCTGGATGTTTTATTTATATAGGAAGGGAAACATTACTTTTATTCCTCTCACAGTAGAAAACAGTCCATCAGTACGACATCTATATTACTTTTACTTATCTTTTTTGTATCAATTAGCCTATTAAAGGAGTCGGTATATAGTTGCTATAGTTTTTGCCGTGAAGTATAATACTACTGTAAGACGTGATCAATATTTATAATAATACTATTGTATGGACCACATGCGTCTACTTAAGATTGTATTAGTTGCATTACTATCTGACTCGTTATAAGACGTCTCTTGGAGATTTTAATTTCAAATGATTGGAGCCAGTTGCTGCATGATGCTAGGTGGATACTTTACCGCCTCGGCTTAGTCTTTCTTCTAGACAACCTTTGTATTGATTCTTTTTATTATAGGCTCAGTTGTAGGTATTGGATGTTGAGGTAGTTATTCTTTCTTGATCTTTTTCTTGTTATTATGTTTATATTCTAAGTCATTTATCATTAGCTTGGTGGTTTATAATCTGTGCTATGAAGATTCTTTTCATGTAGTTGTGTTGTGTAAATCACTTCTCTTAATAAAAACGGACTATATTTGTAATACCCTAACATTTGCTTTTCTTCAAAAGAGTTAAATTCATCTAATTATGTATTTTTGTGTACATTTAAATCTAGAGAAAATAATAATTTTATTGTAATTAAAATTCATTATAGGTTTAGCAACATGGTTGTGCATTCATCTTTCTTGTATATTATTTTGTATTGAGTGATTGGTTTCAAAATTTCAAAAAAAGGATTTAAAATACGTTTGAAAATGGTTTGGAAATAAAAAAATAATAATAATAATAATAACTCTCCTCTCTCACATCTGGCCCGAAGGCCCAATCCCCTCTCTCAGTTGGCCTACCCTTCTCTCTCTCTCTCTCGGCCCAACTGCTGCCCCGCAACCCACTTCCCTCCGCAGCCAGCCTGGCCTGCTTCGCCTTTTCCCCTCCCTCTTGGGCCCATAGCCACCAGGCCTCCCAGCCATTGTTAGTAGGCGCCTTCCCCTCCGCTCTCTCTCTGCCAGATCGCCCCACCCAGGTTGTCGACCGCTAGAGCCACGTTGTCGACCTCTCTTCCTCCTATCTTCTCCGCGTAATCGAAGTGGATTCCCTCTCGTCGATGGAAATCATTTGCGAACACCGATGTCTCTGCGGGATTGGCGTTATCTCAACCCTCACGCCCTATATAAGCCGGCCTCGCGTAATGCGTGCGCCCCTAGCTAACCCTAGCGCAGCCACCCTAGCCTTAGCTTCACGCCGCCTCTGTCGTCCCTGAGCATCTACCGAGCTCTGTGTCGTGGTGAGGAAGCCGTAGGTACCGGCTGAGCTCCGTGTCGTGTATATGATGAATAAGGTGTTAATGGAGTATCTCGATAGGTTTGTTGTGGTCTTCCTTGACGATATTCTGGTCTTCTCCAAAACAGAGGCAGAACATGAAGAGCATTTAAGATTAGTTCTGCAAAAACTTAGAGAACATCAACTATATGCTAAACTAAGCAAGTGCGAGTTCTGGTTGAAGGAAGTCTCTTTTCTTGGGCATGTTATCTCTAATGGTGGAGTAGCTATGGATCCTAAGAAGGTTAGTGATGTGTTGAGTTGGAATCCGCCTACCTCGGGATGTAAGTGAAGTCCGGAGTTTCTAGGAATGGCGGATATTATCGGAGGTTCATTGAAGGTTTTTCTAAGATTACCAAGCCTATGACATCGCTACTTAAGAAGAATGTTAAGTTTGTATGGGTGAGCAATGCCAAGCTAGTTTTGAAGAGTTGAAGAAAAGGTTGACTACAGCTCCAGTGCTGGTACTAGCAGATCTAAACAAGAGTTTCTCCATCTACTGTGATGCATCTCGACTTGGTTTGGGTTGTGTTCTTATGCAAGAAGGACGAGTAGTGGCTTATGCGTCCAGACAACTAAGGAAGCATGAACTAAATTATCCCACCCATGATTTGGAGTTAGCAGCTGTGGTTCATGCATTGAAGATTTGGAGACATTATCTTGTTGGGCATAAGTGTGACATCTATACAGACCATAAGAGTTTGAAGAATATCTTCACTCAGTCAGAGTTGAACCTGAGGCAATGACGTTGGTTAGAGCTAATCAAGGACTATGATCTAGAGGTACACTATCACCCTAGCAAGGCAAATGTTGTAGCTGATGCTCTGAGCCAAAGGAGCTATGTTAATGCAGCTCTAGTGACGCAGTTATCTAAGGAGTTATGTGCTGAATTCGAGCATCTTAATTTGGGAATAGTTGTTAATGCTATGAAATTGGAAGTGGAACCTACGCTTGAACAAGAGATCTGCAAGGGTCAATTGGAAGACGAGAAAATCAAGGAGATAGAAGAACTTATCACAATTGGCAAAGCACCGGGTTTTTGATTGGATGATCAGGGAGTAGTGTGGTTCGGAAAGAGAATATGTGTGCTAGAGATAAAGTCCATTCGAGAGATGATTCTGAGAGAAGCTCATGACTCAGCATACTCTATCCATCCAGGTAGTATTAAGATGTACCTAGATCTGAAGGAGAAGTACTAGTGGTGTGGTTTGAAAAGAGATGTGGCCGAGTATGTAGCA